GAGCTGTTTTTGCTCCTTGTCAAACTATTTGGATTTCACTCGGTGCTTCTTCTCAGGCAGAAACGTCCGTCATGTTGGCAGCAGGATTAAAGTGGCATGTGAGCCAGCCAGGGTGAAAATGTCCCCATTAATTTTTCATCTTTCCTCAGGCAACTCTGCCTATAGATCTACACAGGTATTAAGACAGCTTTGTCAACAAAAACTGTTAGCTCCTCTTCCTCTCTGTCCCCAGTGAGCAGGCAGCAGAGCAGTGGCAGCATTAGAAGGCAGTGACCCTTAGAGCAGCTGTGCCCGTCTTACCAGGGGGCCTGGGGGACTTGCTGAGGCTGAAGGCAGGTCCCCATGGACTCAACACGTGATTTCAGCCAACCTCCTTCCACAACAGCCCTGAGTTGGTGGTGGCCAGTGCACATTTGTCATGGGGAGTCTGCTGGCAGGCAGCCCTTTGTACCAGCTACCTTTGAGCAACCATCACTTGGAATCAAAAGTGCATACCCAATCTAGAGCAGCCTTCCAGTGCACTGCCTCACCTCCTTCAGCAGGGCCCACAGAGGTCAGCCCACACTAGGTACTCATGTCTCTCTGAACGGGCATCTCACTGACATACACGAAGATGCTGTGACTGAAATCATCCCCTGCTCTGCCCCAGAGCTCTTAACAACAGCACCAATGGTGACACCACCTTCAAGTTCAGAGAGCTGCTTTGCTCCAACCCACACTCAATCCCCTCTTCTCTGACATCAGGTCTCCCTTCAGTCCTCACCAAACAGAGATGCACCAAAAGACATGTAAAATCCAATCATCCCTGTAAACACAAGAAACCTGTAACCATCCTTCCTTAACTGCTTTCCCAGATCCAGGCTCCCAATGCTCCCACACTCACTGAGCCCGACCAAACAAAAGCCCATAGCAAAGCAAGGAGACCTTCATGGGAAAAAATAAAATGCTGCCCAAGATGAGTTGCCAGCAGATTGTTTTCTCTGCAAGCCCAGGCTTCCCACAGAAGAGCCATGCTTCTGAAGACCTTGGCTTTCAGACCACAGATAAAGCTGAGAACCAGATCACTTCTAGTCATGGAGATCCTGTGTTGGAGTTTGAGGTATTGATGATTTTGAGATTGTAAATAGTTGTTTTTTTTTTTGCTTTGTTGCTAAAGAAGAAGTTATAGTTCGTTTGTGTTGGTTTTTAAGGTTGTTTATTTTTGTTTATTTATAACATGTTTTGCTGTCCTGCTGTAGGTTTGTTTTGCAGGGCAGCGTGTAGGGCTCTGCGTTTTAGTGGGATGTTATAAACATGATATATTAGAAAATATGTGTGTTATATTTATAATAATATGTTAATATTTATTATTTATGTTAAATAATGTGGTTTTAACTTAAATAAATAGAAAAATGCTACTATTATAGTGAAACATGGAGGGTATGAAGAAGGAGAAAAAGGACAAGATACACTTAATTTTTTTTATTTTGTGCTTTTTGGACTTTTAATTTAGAATTTTAAGATTTTGTTTTTGTACTTGCGCTATATTTATTATTTATATTAAACATTTAGAGATTGTAATTTATTTTGTAAGATTTAAATTTTTTTTAATGGATAGAGATCAGAGACAGTGTCTCTTGGGGCTTTGTATAGGGGGGGGGGTTGACTTTTTGTTAGGGTTTTAGGCTTTTTAAGGCAATTAGAGGGAAGCCTTGGATTCCCACAATCCTGTGGTCCTGTTTTTAAATAATATTAAGAGTGATGAGCCACAGTCAAGGCTAAATCCCAGCTCAGGTGTCTACATGCTCCCTATGTTAATCCCCCCCTGCCCTTCCACAGGTCTGACAGGGTGTAGGAATAGTAAGCCAATACTTATAACCTACATTCACTTTACAGGGGAGGCACAGCAAAAGCAGAAGCAACGCTCAGGATTGTCTCTTCAAAAGCTGATGAGAAATTTAGAGCTTTGTGTGCATTTGGTTGCATATCTGGTCATATGTCCTATTACTATAGATCCAGCCTTAAAATACTGCTAAGGGTGCAGCCTTGGTGTGGGGACCATGAACAATGAGAACTGTGTAAGTACTAGGCTTGACCAGATGGCTGAAATGTTTTTTTACATTTTCTCATCATACAGTTACCAATGACTCTGCACCATCATCATAATAGCTTTGTCCTCCAGCTGTATAGTCATAATTGCATTTTATTTTTGTATTTCTTTGCAATTTAATGCTAAGGAGGGTTCTCAAAATGGCTGGTTTTGTTCCACATAGGACTTTTCCTTCTCTCTGCTGGCTGGCTTTGACTTCTATTTTGACAATACGTTTGTCTTCTCTAATATTTATTTACCTTTTATTATTCCATCTATTTTCTTTGACATACATCTTTAATTAGCTGCACTCTTCTGCTTTCATTGCCTACTAAAACATTCATTTAGAAAGTGTGGTGCTCACTCCTGCTGGAAATCTCAGCTGTATGCTTAAAAGGTCAAGTCTATTTCTTGCAAAACCTTTCTCTGGCCAAGTAATCAGTCATATATCAGAGATAAGGTGGCCCCCTAAGGAGGCAACTTGTATTCTAAATGTATTGAGATATTTTTCCTTTGGCAACAAAGATTTGTAAACATGATAGGTAACTATCACACTGCTACAGTAATAATTATTTTCTACTTCCAGAGATAATACACCTTTCAAAAGAGATGCTCTTCCTTCTAGACTCATAAAACTTGAAATCTCTGGAGATTCTGTTCATTACGTTGCCTTTCTCTTGGAACTAACACCCACTGCTGAGCCTCTGAGCCTCCAAGCCTCCTATGGGTAGCAAGTTTGCCCACCCTCTGTATCTTTCTCTGGAATTTCTCAGAAAACTGGGAAGAACTGGAGCCACTTTGTTCAATGCTTCACCACAGACACTTACCAATTAGTTTTCCCCAAGGTGGTGCCTGGGATGAAGGGCAGAAGAGAAAGCAGCAGTGCTGAGAGATGAGTGTTTGATCTTCATCTTCCTCCAGCCCTGCAAGTGGGACAGGGGACCACAGCATGGCTGGGGCACTCCAGAGACAGCTTTAGCTTTGCAAAACAAGGCAGACACCAGATTTTTCCAGACTACTGGAAAGTATCTGGGGATACAGTGAGCAATACTGACCACAACAGCAGTTTGTCCCTCTCTGCCCACAGCATGGAAAGGTGACCTGTCTTTGCCCAGGTCAGTGGCACAGGTAGAACCAGGATTTGGTATCAAACAGGACACAAAGCAGACTGGATTATGCTTTGCTGGCATCCCGACTTTGCCCACACCTTGTCATGCTGCCTTCACATCAGCCCCAGAAATTGTGCAGCTCTCTAAAGAGTCAGTTCTGGGGTGTGATTTAAAATGTCAGTATAGGGGAAGCAGTGGCAAGTCATGGATGGGGGGCAGAGTGTTGCAGCAAGGTCTCAATGCAGCTTACAGCACCCAGGCCCACCCCCTGAGCAGCCCTGACTCTCCACCCTGTGCCTTTGCTGCCTCCTCAGGTGTACAGCAGCTGGACTCTGTCTTCAGCCAAGTAACTGATCCACTTCCAGCAGAAAGCCAGGCTCTCCTCAGCACTGCTTCAGCACTGTAATTAATTCACAAGCCTCTCCCTTTCCCCTCCCTATGCCAGGTCAGCAAATTCACTGTTATGCCAGTTACTAAAACTGTGTCTCACCCTCCTTGGCAATTTATCAGTTTTATTGGCATGAATAATCTTCCCCAGCCAGCCAGTGAAGTAAAGGTATGGCAGAACAAACAACTGAAGTGTGTGCAGGACAGAAGGTGAAAAGCTTGCATGATACATGGGGCAAGAGGCTGCCAGGGTGAGCTGAGCCCATGCACGAGGTGGAGCAGAAAGCACACCTGAGCAGAAAGGGAAGTGGCCCATATGCAGAGAAGCTGTGACACTGCTCCTCTGCATAGGAATCTGTGGGTATTGATGACTCCAAGATTGTAGAAAGTCTCTGTCTTTCTGCCCCATTGCCAAAGAAGAAGCCATAATTCATCTGTGCTGTTTTCAAGGTTGTTTATTCTTGCTTATCTCTAACATGTTCTGCTGCCCTGCCGCAGGTCTGTCCTGCAGGGCAGCGTGTGGGGCTCTGCCCTCAGTGGGATGTTACAAACATTATATACCAGAAACTACCTGTGCTGTATTTACAATAATGTGCCAATATCTGTCACCTACGTTGAACAGTGTGTCCCCAGCCTAAACAAATAGAAAAATGCCAACACTACAGTGAAACATGGAGGGCATGAAGAAGGAGAAAAAGGACAAGACACACCCAATTTCCTCCATCTTGTCCCCTTTGGACAACTAATCTAGAATCCTAAAATTTTACTTTTGCACCCGTGCCACACTTAATTATTACTTATATCAAACACTCAGAGCTTGTAATTCATCCTGTAAGATTGAAAACTCTTTTCCATGGACAGAGATCAGAGACAGTGTCTCTGGGGGCTCGGTGCAGGGGGGTTCCTGACCTCCTGCCTGGGTCCCAGACCTTCCAGGAAAGCCAGAGGAAAGCCCTGGATTCCCACACTCTGGAATTAGGGGTGGGCAGGACTGCTGTTGCTTGTGGTCACAGCCACGTGGTGGTTCACAAGAACTCAGGGCAAGCCATGCAGCCCAGGGCTGCTTTGAACCAGCCTCTGCAATGCCTTTCAAAGCACACAGTTTTGCAGCAAGACTTTTCTGGTTCCTGGGATGCTGCAGGAAGCCTACTGCAAAACACAGTGAAAGAAGATGCATCCAGGCTGCCTGTGAGTTGTCAGGTGCAAGTAGCCCTCCTCTACAATGGTAAACAAGTTGCTGAAATTAAGATATCAGCTCTCCAGCTGTGTAACCAGGAGTCCTCACTGTGAAGGCACATGTATACCAGCCTTCTCCACTGTCAAAACACTCCTCAGGTTTCACTGTCATCTCAAAGCTGATTATATTTACCCTCCAGGTATTGTATGCACTGTATTTTAATAATCTGCCCACCTGTTATTATTTTCTTTCTCAAATCTGTAGCTCTTCAGCAGTACTGTAATTTAACTCCAGCTGAAGGCTGCTTGGGTTTGGATGACAACATTTTCTCCATTAGTATCTGCCAGACACAAAGCTGAAGCTCATCAAATGATAAATGATCATAACCACTTTCTGCTCTACAAGATTGAAATAGATCAAGATGCAGAGGAGAAATAAGCTGTTTGGCCATCATAGCTCCACTGTGGGCAAATGTTGGTCCCCAGTCCTGATGTGACCAGTAGTTAGGGATGCCCACTGGCCTCTAAAGGTTCTTAATGACAGTTGTGGCACCAGCATACATGTCCACTGTAATATTATTCCCATCTTTTTTCGTCCCTCTCAGGAGAAAGTAAAATCCGATACCAGATACTGTTTTTCTGCCTGTATGGCAAAAAGGAAAAGAGAGATGGTCACCACATGGTCTATCACATCTCCATGGCATCCAGGCTCTAATAAGAGAGGGCTTCATCCTACCTTGTTACACAGAAATCAGTCTGAAATCTGGTGAAAATACAAGACACAGATACCTCCAATAACAAATATAAACTTACATGGCAGGAGGTGCTAGGGAAAACTTCTCCCTGGACTTTGTGGTTGACCAGCGGAAGCGTCAAAGTATTTGGGTTCGTTTTGCAAAATAAAGCAAACACTAAACTACTATGATTCTAGAAAGCCAAGGCTCTGCTATTCTGAAAACTCATTTAAATTAGCTTTTCAGTGCAGGACTCATATTTTATTTGGCCAGCATTTTCTTGAAGTGTGCAACATGATATTTTACATACTCAGCAACACGAATCAAAATCTGTAGCCTCTCCTTGGTGAGAGAAAAGCAGAGGAAAAAAGTAATGAATCATTGCATTGAAGTAATTCTCATCTGGCCTGGGGGTATGTTATGATGAGGCTTCACTCTCTGGTATGCTTCCAAAGGTTTCCATTTCCTTGCTGTCGCTTCCTTTCACATAAGCATTGTCTGCATTGTGTTCCCAGCTGTCAAGCACTCTGGAGATGCCAGGAGACTGACAGCCACTTGCACAGGTGCCCTGTCCTACAACACAGCTCTGCACCCTGTCCCCACAGTCCCTGCCAGCACTGCCAGCTCCCTCCAGCACGACACCAGCCACCAACCCCCTCCCTGCAAGAAGGACCCAGGCAAGGAGTTGCCTCGTCTCCTGGCAGGGAGCAGGGGAAAAGAAGAACTGTCCCTGTGCACAGCTTTGTTCCCTGGTGCAGATTCAGTCCAGGCTTGCTCCCTGCTGGCAGGCACATCCTCAGCACTGTGTGGCCACCCTGACCAGCCTCAGCAAAGCAGGCAGCCAGTGGCTCCCTGAGTTGAGAAGGGATTGGACACAAAGGGGAAAGGATACTCTTGTTCTGCACCCACACTGTCCCACAAAGTCTTGTGGGTTTGGAATACCTTCAAGGAAGGATCTTTACCTTTGCCTGGGCAAGAAGTTCAAGCTTTTTCAGGGTTCCAGAATCCTTTGCTCATTCGGCAAGCACCTGCCTTCTCTCACAGACACAGGATGACAATAACATGATGACCATCAAGCAGCTTGTTGCTAGACCTTGTCAGACAAGGAAGGTAAGACCCGTAACAAGACCCAGCCAAATTTTATCCAGGCCAGTTGACTGAGAGGTTCATTAAGCATTGCTAGAGCCAGGACCAGCAGCTCAATTGCATCTCTTGAAGCAAATTAGGACCAGGCAGCACCCAAAGTGGGCCATAACACAGAGATGGAGCCTCCCAGAGCATACCAGCCTAGCTGCAAGTCAGCAAATATTTTAGTGTGTAGCAAATATGTATTGGCTGTGAAATAGCTGATACAAGTCTGCCTGAGAGAAAGATGCCTTCAGTTTCTCAAGACACAGGTCTCAAAATTTGGTTGTCTATGTCAACATAATGCTACAGACCCTGATTTTCTACATGCTGTCATAGACCACAGCTGTTCAGAGCTGCCTGCCTGTGGGGAGGAGGTAAAGGATCAGTCCTGCAGTTGCCATTGGTTGCATTATCTGACTCTACAGTCAGTGCCTGCCAGTGGCAGGATTTTCCTCTCTAGAGGTGTTTGGAAATTTGCCAGGCTGAAAGCTTCTACGTCTTAGCTGGGGTGCTGTTACCTCCCCAGAAAGACAAGGATGTACCCCTTTGTTGGTGGTTCCTGAGGTGAGAGCAGCTGACAGATCCTAACAGAGAAGGTGGACTTAACAGCTGAAAGAAACTGGCTATTATTCTGTCAGGTAAAATGTCTATGTGGATGCTGAAACAGCCTGACTGCTCTCCCATCAGTCTTGTTAGGAGCTGATTTTATTATGCTTTGCTATTGAAAGGCTGAGTTCATTTTGGGACCTCTTAATTACGATGCTGCCTGCTTTGGAAATAAAACTTGCAACGTTGTCTGCAAGCAGTCACAGAGCAGAGAATCTGGCAAGCTAAAAAAAGATGTTAGAGGCAAACCTTCAGCTGTAAAGGTCTCCAATTCATGGCGAGGCAGGTTACTGCAGGGGCAGCTGAGCTGAGTCACTCCGTGTTAGGATGATGAAGATGGGGAGCAGCTGCCCCAGGTAAGAACCATGGTAGAGCACGGGCACTATGGCAGTGTTTGCCATGCTAGTACCTGGTGTCACAGCCTTTGGGCAGCTGGTGTGAAAAACAGCAACACAATTAGGGGGATATCATGCAGGTTTGCAGAGAAAGGAAGGCAGGAGCAGGAGAAGAGATCAGGCGAAAGGTGAGTAATTTGTGTGCATTACAGATAGCGTGGGTGCCTGCAAACTTGGAAAACACATTATTTTGGAGATCACTGAGGTGAGATGCTTGCAAAACATTCTAAGCAACGTTTCCTGCCGACAAAAATACTCTGCAAATCCTATGGAAAGCATGCAGGCAGCTGCAGAGCAGGGCAGGGAAGGGGTGGGGGAGGTGGTGAATGTGTAAACTTCATATAGATCAACCATATGTGTAAACTTCATATATATCAACCATATGAAGTTTAAGAAGGGCAAGTGCCAGAGTCTGCATGGGGCACCCCTGGTTCTGTGTGCAGACTGGGGAACAAGTGGCTGGAGAAAAGCTCTGTGGAAAGGGACCTGATGGTCTTGGCTGATGGAAAGCAGAATCTGAATGAGCAGTGCCCTGGCAACCAGGAGGGCCAATTGTGCCCTGGGGAGGCATCAGGCACAGCATCACAGCTGGGCAAGGGAGGGGATTGTCCTGCTCTGCTCTGCACTGGGGCAGCTTCACCTCAAGTGCTGGGGCAGTTTTGGGCACTGCAATATAAGAAAGACATTAGGCTGTTAGAAAATGTCCAAAAGAGGTCCACAAGGCTGGTGAGGGGTCTGGAGAGGAAGCCTTGTGAGGAGTGGCTCACTTGGTTTGTTCAGCCTGGACAAGAGGAGCCCTCATGGTGGTCTTTGGGATCCTCAGGAGAGAAAGGGAAGGGAAGGTACACATCTCTTCACTTTCGTGACCAGTGACAGGGCTCAAGGAAACAGCATGAAGCTGAGTCAGGGCAGGTTTAGTTTGGATATCAAGGAAAATATTTTTCCCCCAGAGGGTGCTTGAGCACTGGAACTGGCTCCCCAGGGAAGTGGACACAGCACCAAGCCTGACAGAGTTCAAGAAGCATTTGGACAATGCTCTCAGGCACATGGTGTGACTGTAGGGGTGTCCTGTGCAGGGCCAGGAGTTTGACACAATGACCATGATGGGTCCCTTCTGCTCAGCATATTCTGTGATTCTATGGTTCTATAAACAGGAAACAATCCCTAGTATAATATATGTCCCAGTGTATAGGGAGGCTTCCTGGGAGGGGTGGTGGGGTATCATTTGAAATAGCGAGAAAGCTGCAGCACAGCCATCACTAGAAGCACTCAAGTAAATGTTTCACCTGCCTGTCAGAAGAGTGATCCTGCCTTTTCTACATGGGCACAATCATGGGACAACAAAGCACAAACACATTAGGTGCCTGTCATTGTGCTCCAGCTACAGGTCCTCTAATGCTTCCAAGAGCACAGATAGGGTTTGCAAACCCCTCATAAGGAAACTCAAATCCTTCACATCCAAGACAAGGGAGAACCTCCCTACACTGTGACTGGTCTCTGCCACCCAAAAAGACAGTTCTGCCAATTTTAAGCCTTAATTGAAAAGCGGAGCGCAAGCCCAGCAGCGTGGTGGGCACACTGATTCACCATACCAAGCACTACATACAAAATCAATACAGGCATGGTCTGAGCCTTTTCTATCTCCAAACTCAGCAACAGCAGGGCTCCCCCACCAGGGCTCCCCCCATTTCACCAAGGACAGCTGCTCTAAGCAGAGTCTGGGGGCGTTGGGTGCTCTTAATGTCCTCCAAATCCTTCCCAGACCTTAGCAGAGACGTGAGGACTGACACCCCACTGCAGTTTGACAGCAGACAGATTTTACAGTGACAGTGTGGGGTAAAGTGTTACTGGAAAATGTAACATTTGCAACATGTCTCCACTGAAAATCACAAGTGGGGATGCTGTTTGTTTCCTCCTAGATATATATATATATATTTGTAAAGAACAAAAAAGATGTGGAGAAGGGGACCAAGCATGTATGGACTCAGGCAGTCCAGCCCTTGCTGCACAGGATAATTTACTACTAGAGGGTCTCTCCTCCAGCATTTTTCTGTCTGTATATATGCATCAGAAAAAAACCATATCCTTACCATTGTCACTCATAAGCCAGACCAAAAAATGTAATTAAGAATTCGCTTGATATTCTACCTACATTTCTTTCCTTGAGATGTAGCACATCCCTCCTACTTGTATACCTCCTGCTACCCTTCTGATCAGCTCCTCTACCTCAAATTCACACCCTTCAAATTACAGGAAGACAGTTAGGTTTCCCCCCTTAATCACCAATTTTCCACGATAAACACACTCAGTTGCTTTAATTGTTCTCCACACCTCAGCTCCCCTCCAGCACCCTAATCGTTGTTACTCTTTGAACTCCTTCTAGCTTGCCTGCCTCGGTGCCAATGAGATGTCTGCAGCTGAGCACCGAGCTGTGCATGGGATCTGACCAAAGCTGCATGCTAATTTCACCATTAGGAAGATGAGGGGTCTCTGGCAGGATGAGGGTGTTCATTCATTCACATATCTCATTGCTCCTGGCGGGGCTGTCCTCCAGCCGGCTGCAGTTTCCTACTCCATTTGTTGGTTTTATTGAACCAAGGGATTAAAAGCTTCCAGGCTGGTAATTACAGTGATCGTTCGAGTGGCACGTCCTCTGGCACGGGGATGGGTCAGACAGGGCTCCCTCACTCACAGCCTCCACAAGGGATGCCCACCCAGGGCAAGCTGAATCCAAGTGCAAAGGCACGCGGCCTCAATGCCACAGCCACAGGCAGAAGAATTCAGGGGGTGTGTGAAGGAAACTTGGTGCCCTTTGAAACTTGGGGCCCTGCAAAGGAAGGCTGCCTGAGCACAAGTCTGATAGCACTATCCACAAACTGCCTGAATCTAGGGCAGGAAAGGCAGCTAGGGATGCTCTGAAGTGGCATTTGCAATATTTTACTGTCAAGGAAAATGTAGCATAAAAGCCACCCACACGTGGCTGTAGAGTCACATTAGCTCTAGCATCCTCAGCCAGAATGAAGAGAGTTTCTGGTGTTACATGAGTACAGGATGGAACAATAGTCTGTCACTGAACCACTGAGCACAGGCTGGGAAGTGTCCTACAGGTAGATGATAAAAGTCACCTGGACAGAAACCCAGGGATTGTAATATTTTCAATTTGTTAGCTTTCTGCATGTGTTTAAGGAACAAATTTTCATAAACAGAGGTAATGAGTCTTGCCTGTCTTGTTTGAGACACAGACCTGAAAAGCCCTCCACGTAAGGAACAGGCAGTATTAATAATATATTAGACTTCTCTTCAATGCTGTTCTCATAGCTGAGAACATACGTGACTCTGCACAAGCTTCATCATCTCTCATCTCTGCGCCTTGGGGGCTTCAGAGTAATTTCAAACTTTGAAAGTTTTCCCCTCCACTTGCTCCAGTTTCTGTTGTTCCTCGAGAGCCGTCGGAATTTCACAACATCACCTGAGCAGCAGATAAGTAAAAATTGCCTCAGCTGTAGAGGAGAAATCTAGGTTAATTATGTTGATAACTTAACCCCCAGGCTAATCTCTAGTCCATTAAGGTAAGCAGATGGTCAGCTCACTGCAGGGAAGGGAGGACAGAGTAGCATCTCTCATTCACAACATGTCCCTGAGGATGGGCATCCCCAGCCTGCTCCCTTCCCCCACAGACAGGTTTTGTTTGTGCCACAGCTGGCAGGGCAATACAGAAAGGGCAGCACAGAACCACAAGCAGGAAAACAAAATGCCCACACAAGGTGAGAGTTTTTAGGATTCAAGTAAGCAGTACACTGGCATAGATTGAACATGGGGAGGGATAGGGAATGGGAAGCACATACAGATGGGTCTTGCAGGCTGACATAGTAGAAATGGGGTGGTGAAACAAAATATCTGTAAGAAATACAGGTCAGAGGCAATGTCACTGCAAAAATGCAGGAGACACATCTGCAAAATAGTGTCCTGACCAAGGTAGACACTGAATGCCCTCCCAGGAGCAGTGCTGCACAGGCTACATCCCTCCCAAGGTGACAGGGAGGGAGGACCTTGTGGTCAGTGCTATGAATAGGTGTCCCAACTTCTGTCCTCAATTCTTTCAGTAATGAATGGATCAAGCAGCAGCAAGGCATTTTGTCTCAGTTTCTCCATTTGTAAAAAAATTCCTCCTACATCTTGCAGGGAGATTTTGTAAAGCTTAAATGCCTGTACAGTGTTTTTCATCCCTCAGATGAAAAGGAACTGTGACATCTCACATCTCTCTTAGCAGTCAGCCCATTTCTTCAGCAGAGAGACAGGGATGCCAGTAGCTGCCCTGCCTGCTTAAAAGCTCCCTGGCTTCCATTGAAATTGGAGAAGAATCTTTATTTGTTCTCCTCCATATAAACAGTAAATCCCAGGACGAGAATAGATGATAGGTTTGTGTGCAAACAACTGCAGAGAATAGAAGGGACTCTCCAAATCAGCAATTTTGGGGATCATTCCTCAGGGCAAACCCACCCCTTCTGAACTTAATCCTCCAGCCACTGTAGCAAGTGACTTCCCAAACACTGACACTCTGCTAGGACAACAGCGGCATCCACAGCATGGGAACATTCAGCCTTGCAGAGAAACAGAAATTGGGATCTTCAGCCTGTTATTTTTAAAGGTGCAGTTCAGGAGAAATGGTCATGCTGCAGTGTTGCATTGTGATATTTCTGTGTGAACCACAGCACTGTCAAGTTGCTAAGCCGATGTACAACATGTACATTAAACAATTACATCTGAAGGTGATGGGACCAGCTGGTGCACATTAGAGTCATTTGACTCATTTAGGGGACAGCCTGAGGAGCCCTCCCTTAAACATGCACTTGGTGGGCTCCGGGTGGGCTGCGCTTTGGGAAAAGCAGGGATTACAAGCAGAAGGTGGCACCTGCAACACCACGGGTATATTTACCTGGAGTACTGCAGGCAGAATCACTTGAAGGAGGAACCCTGCTCTGGATTCAGCCAGGATGAAGCTGCACAGCTGTGGTTGGCATGCTGAGATGCAAGGAGCATGAGCCTATATCCAGTGCTGCACTGAAGCAATCTCATGGCTTCCAGACCAATGCTGGCTTTCATCCATGGGCTCAGATAGGAGGTCAAGTGAGTTTACTTCTGCCTGCAGTATCTCATGTAGGCATTGTCCACATCACCTCCCTGCAAGCCTGTAAATCCCCTGCTTCTCATCTTTCCTTTCCCCTCCCTGTTCCCTTTCCATAATGCAGGTTCTTTTGGGAGGTAGGGACATATGACACTGAGTGGCAAATCAGCACCATTAACACAGGCACACACAGAGCAATGGCTCACAAAAGGAACTGCTGCTTCCCTGAGGAAACTGCACACAGCTTCACCTCCCAGCAGCACCCTCCAGGCAGTCATCCTTTCTGCACTGCACCTCACAGAGCAGCAACAAAAGTGCAGCTTCTGTCAGAAAAGTAAGTGCTACCAAAGGACCCCTTCTCACTGCTGAGATTTTCTGCCTCTCTGTGCACCCAGCTTTGCTCACCCAGATACATTTTAATGTCTCCCTATTCCTTCTGATACTGCATAACCAACTAAGCTGTTCCTCTTCTGGTTCAAATTTCAACATGAATAAAACACATTCTAAAATAATGCCTATAACCACCAGCACCAGCCCTTTATAAAATACTGCTGGCTTTTGACTGGCATGAGGAACCAGGCATCTCCCTGGTCCTCCCACTGAGACAGCTCACTGCCTCCTTCCCCACCACCCCAGCCAGCACACTGACTTCTCCAGATGCCAGGGGGGACCCTGGGCATGTGCTGTGCCCCTTGGCATGGCAGAACTTCCGTAGGTAGGCAGATGTCATACCCTCAGTGTCACTGCCAGGTGCTTAAGCCACAGGTCCCTAAACACTCTTCCAGATACAAGATACAACTGGGAAACATCAAGGAAAAGCTAGTAGCAGTCACTCTGCTAAAACTGGCAGTACCAGCAGTTGGGTAAGAGCAGGAAAGCTGTTCTACTGTATTCCAGAGTCCTGCATGCGTTTGTGGCACAGAGGCACTGAGCCTGCTCCAGTGTCTGGGTGACACCAGTGCATCGTGCACCAATCACCCTGTGCTGAGCCTACCACAAAATTTTGTGTCCCCTGTGGACAGAATGCCTTTGGTGCTAGAAGAAGAGGCAAAATGTTTTAAGCAGCAAGAAAACATCTGACAATGCAACACTGATAACATGGATGTTAGAAACAGTATAAGGGAAAGAAGCATTTTGTCTCACTCCCCAAAATATTTGGGGTTCTAAAAACACAGAGGAAAGATAATTTCCCCTTTGATTCCGGAAAGTCAGACTGATAATGAGCAAGTGCAGGACTCAGAACTTCTTTCACATGTGCATCAGCATTGAGTATGTTATTTAGCCAAGGCCAGACTAGAGGAGAAATTAACAGTTGTGTTCCTCTCCCAACACTTGTCCTGCTAAATCACAAGTGCTATCCCCTCTACCCCTGCACATGGCATGGGAAAATATCAAGACACAAAGCATAAATCCAGTTCTACCATTCCAGGATGCTCCAAGGTGGGCAGGTGTGACCCTGAGGGGCCCTGAGGAGGAGGGAAGATACACCACATTTCAGCGAGGCTTTCCTCTCCTGAATCACTTGAAGGAGGAACCCTGCTTTGGATTCAGCCCAGCACTGCATAGTGATAATTTCTAATCCAGCAGCTGAAAGATTACAGAAAGTTGAAGAAGACAGATGGTGTGGCAAAGATGGAGAAGTCTTATTGCTTGGCTACAGCCTGTCCTTGCCGAGGTTAGGCGCAGGATTTCAGACAGCTCCACCCTCTGTGTAAGCCACCACTTGCTCAGAGCCAGCCAGCCCCAACATACCACCGAGTTGCAGGCTCAGTGTGGGAGCAGCAGAGGCTGCTGGCAGGAAGAATTGCAGATGGCCTGCAAGGAAGAGGGATCCCTCCTCTGCACAGCCTCACAGGGTTTTTGGTTTGGGACCAGACAGGGAATAAAGACATTTTACATCCATCCAGCACTTTGCAGAGGCACAAGCACAACCCCCACCAATTCACACACTGCCTCCTTTCACTACAAGCAACAGTCACCCTTCCCAGTTTTATCTGCTGGAATAGGAGGCATTCAAATTTTGTAGCAAGTCAGCATCAGAACCTGGGACAAAGTGACGGGGGCTGCCCTGGCTCTGCTCTGCTCTCTGCGAGGAGCACCCACACCCACCTCACTCTGCCCAGCTGAGAAAGCTCCTGTGCCAGCCAACACCAGCCTTGCTCCCTGCAGAGGAGGATGCTTAGGTCTCTGGATTTTTGTTGTTGTGGGTTTGCAATTGTCTGAGGCCTAAGTGAAAATTAATGTACGGATGGGTTTTTTTTACACCTGCTCTTTTAGTTGTTTTTAAGACACATTAGAAACATGAGATCTTAAGTTCCTAATTTTTGCCAAAGACATCTCCAATGAAAATCACATCACAACCAACAGAATGGAAACTGAAACAAACATTGAAAAATCATATTCTGCTGTATGTTAACACTTAATTAAACCAGTTGCCTGACAAACACTATGCAAAATAGCTCTTTTCCTGAAAGCCAATGCAATTTTCAGACAAGGATGAAGAAACTTAATGATACACTTTTCAGTATTCCAGAAACACTCCAGGAAAACCTGGGAGACAGCTTCCTAATATTTCTCACGTGAGTAACAAGTAAAGAGAAAAAACAAAGGTACTCCAGATTTCAGGCACCCACAGATAATGGGACAGGCATCAGCAGCACTGCAGTAACCTCCACCAACCAGCAATGGATCAGTGAAACATGAAGAAGCCTGACAAAAGAAACTTCTCTGCTCCTAATGGCAGCATCTATTTCTTTTTATGGGACACCTTTTAAACAAGGCAAAGCAACTAAACCTGAGTCATGACATCCAGTTCTGCTCTTAGATGTCTGCAGGCTGCATGAAGCTTGGCAAAACCTCTCCTGTTCCTACCCCCTAGTCTTGCCTCCTTCCAAACAAGGATCTCAGGGACACTTTTGATGCCAAAAGAGGAAAATTCATTTTGACAGATCCAGGAGGAAGAAGTGGAACTCCCCGGATTTGCACTGGCACAGCCAGGACACAAGTGCCCTTCCTGCCCACTGAGTGAAGATGCCAGTCACATCTGGGACAAGGGTGCCACAGGCTTCTTGCACAACTCCAACCGCTGCAAACTGAACATGCACCCATGCCCTTGATTTAATAAATAAAGCATCAGAAAGCCCTGCCCCACTTTCAAAAAATCAAATCAAAACAAAAACAACAACTCAAAACTTAAAGCTCAGTGGACCAAAGCCCCATTGCTGAATGTGAGTGTGGTCTGAGGGCAGACAGTGCTTTGTACCTCCATCTTCTGCTTCAGTGGAATGTGCTGAGGGCGTCATTTACAGCAGAGGCATTGTTGCACACCAGTTACTCATTCTCTGGGAGCTGTGGAGGCTGCAGGAATAATGAGATAATTATGTCCATTTTTCCCAGCAGTGGTGGGAATGAGACCGCCTTTGTCCCCTGCTCCAGACTGGACAAGCTTGGTCGGTTTTGTTCTATCAGCAGAGCCACCTGAGCAGAGGCTCCCAGGAGCTTCAGCTGAGGCAGCACCCGGCTGCTCGTCTGGGGGCACTAAGAGTGCAGCAGACCCTGGACATTCCCACACAGCAGAAATTCTCTGCCTGGGAAATGTCAGCCCACGGAGAGCCCAGCATGTCCCCACTCCCCTCAAAACACACACGGTGCCCTACTTGGGTGAGGATCGTCGGGAAATGCAGACAGCAGATGGGAGGGAATTAAACTCAGACTGAGGAGAGACTCAGGCCCCCCAGAACTGAGACTTATTCCTGGCAACACACAGCTGAAAAGCACTTAGATATCAGCAGTCCTTGTTAATTCACCAGAGGGTATTATCCAAGCTTGTTACAAGATTGATGTTCAGTGTGCCACAATCATTTAATAGTTACCCCCAGCACTTGGCCTGGATAGGCTTGCAAAATCTAGTAGCCAGAAGTTGTTTCTCTTCCTCCCTTGATCATTTTGCTGATCTCTTGGCCTGAGCATAATGGATCAGATTAGAAGGCTTTCTTTCTTTTCTTTTTTTTCTTTTGGCTTCTTAGTCTCCTTAAACTAGATTCACACTTCTGCAGGCCACTTGTCATCACTGCCAGGAGCATTAATTAGAGCCAATAAGAACCTGCATTACCTGCTGTGGCGCAGAAATGGCATTGTGGAGGAGCAGCTTGAACCAGGATCTCGACAGAGCATCCACCCTCCTTTACAACTCAACACATACAATGGCTCCACATGTGCTGAGGCAGTCTAGAGCTCACTGGGAAGCCAGAGAAAGGCGCAGTTGCCAAACCTGACAGCAAAAGTGCAGCTGGAAGTCCTTAATGTAAAATTACAAGCTGCACTGCTCTGCCTGCAGGTGGACTAGATGGGCCCTTCCACCCTAATTCTTTTCACCAACCTGAATTTCAGAGAAGGCACAGGACCGCAGGCTTCACAGACTACAAAGCCACCATAATTGATGCAATATTCCTCTTATTCCAGCTAGCATGATGGCTCACTGCTGTCCTGTGGCTGAGAAGCTAGCAGCAGCCACAGCTACACCTCACACTCAGCAAACCTCTCAGCTGCAAGGCTATTTGCAATGGATGGCAAACCTCCATCCTTGTGGCAATCCTTTCCCACCATCCCATCTTGTGGCTTTCACCAGCCCCCAGCTCAGAGGAGCCCCTGTGGGCCTGATGCACAACAGAGCCAGTCATCCCAGGGCCACACACAACAGCTGCATTTACAGCGACTGTGCCCGTGACTCGTTGAAGCTATTTCAGCTAGAAAACAAAAACCCTTTTTCTGCTCCCCCTTGTTTTTAAGTGGGCATCAGGCACAGGAGGATGATGCTGGCTTTGCACACAGCTGTGGTACTCACACCCTGTACCACTGGCAGCAGGAGAGCTGCTCACTGCAGGACCCGCTGCGGGCACACGGCACATTTACATCCTCAGCTCCCCAGAAAAGGGCAGCTCTCCGTGAGGAGAGAAAGCCCTGAGCTTTCCCTGAGGGCTCCCACCAGGGAAAGCTACCAGGCACCAGGGTCCTCTGCCTCCCTTTTCTGGGACAGCAGAGGTAAGCTGTGGCAAGCACATTTCTCTCACTCTCAGGATTTTTCATAGAGGTGCACAGAGAGAAATAAAAGAGAAAACCATTTCTATTTCTGCTCCTTGTTTTTCCCACGTGGAATGTGTTTGGACAATTGTTTACCGGGGTGAGTGCTTGATTGGATTCTGGTGAGCATTGTTTGAGCCTGATGGCAAATCCAACCCACCTGGGACTGAACTCTTGGGAGAGGGTCACAAGTCGTGTTAGAGACAGAGTCAGAGAAAGTAGTATGTAGTTTTATTATCTTCTTTTTATATAGTATATTAATGTATTTTAGCATAGTTATAATAAAGAAATCATTCAGCCTTCTGAACTAGAGTTGAACATTGTCATTTCTTCCCATTGGGTTTGCCTGCATTTACAATAGTAGGCAAATGAGGAGGGACTCTGCAGGGCTGTGAAAGGGAAGAAGCTAAATATTTTTGGCAAATAGAGAACACAAGCTGAAAAAAAAAACTGGACACACTGTGTAGATGATTCTATGAAACTGATTTAAAAAGAAAAGGCAGGTCTAGTAGGTCAGAATTACTTCCCCCAGTACACCTAGGTTTCTCTGTGTCTTCCAAAGTAACTGAAGAAGAAAATAAAATCAGGTCCTTATGATATCCAGGTGGTAATTAGCTCATGAAGGAAAGAGGTATAGATTTTATGGATGCCAGGGACAAAACAGGAGTTGAAATTCATAGCTTTGTTTCCATTCCTCTTTCCACTTCCTGTCAGGAACCAAAGCCTGGGTAAAAGAAAAGCCCACACATCCCTCTCCCAGCCTGCCTTTTGTCTCTTTCAAACTAGGTGAGAGCCATCAGCCTTCCAGCTTGAATCCAGCAGGAAAATCTAGTCCCTGTACCCAGGAGAGGGCTGGCTGGGATATCTCTTCCCCACCAAAACCCTCAGTCACCCCAGCCTACAGCTGTGCTAGCCCTGCAAAGCCAGGCTGCTGACCTTTTCCTGGCACAAGCCTCTCCACATATTTCATGAGGGGATTGTTGTTTTCTCATGGGTTCCTCATTTAAGAACATTATATTTAGAGCTCGGATAGAAAGGATCCATTTAACCAGATCTTTCATTCCCTCTCTCACCCACACGTACACACGTGCTGCTCCCCCATGGCCAGCTGTCTGTGCACACACACACCACACATGCCTTTTGGCTGCCTCCCATCACATTTGGTTTAATTAAGCACCCTGTAGGCTTGTTTCTAAATGCATATTACTGAAAGATGTTTAGTTTATTTTTTTTTAAATACCCTGGCTGCTGCAATTCTGAACTAAATAAGGTGAATGACAAAATTCACAGGGGAAGAGGGAAGGAGGGGGAGCACAGCAGCCCTTAGATCTGAGCAGGTTGAGGACATTTGGAGTAGGATGCAGGAAAACTCGGTGGCAGTCCCCAAGGAAGCCAGATCCCCACCACAGACAGCGAGCACCCTGCCAGTCCTTGGATGAATTGCATCCCAGTCACTAGGAAAGATGGACTGGAAACACCATGCAATTTCTGGCAGTCTGGCAATGGGCATTTTGATATGAAAAGGTCCCACAAAGAGAAACTTTACCCTCCTCTTGGTGTCCTGTGCTGCTGACAGCACCCAAAGCTGTAAATGCAGAGTGCCCAGGGGCAGGAATGCACATAAAGCACTCCACTGACACCCTGCAATGTTCAGCCTTCACCATCAGGTGTAACTTCTTAGGCAAAAGCGCCCAGAAATTTGAAAAAGTAAAATGTGCCCTAAAGTACTGAGAAGGAATAAAAACCCAACCAGATTGCAGCAGATCTGCCATACTGATCAGAGAGAGAAATGTCCTCCTGACCCTACAGATGACTAGCAGACAGTCTGAAACATGAGATTAAAGCATGTGCAAGGAAGGCTAAGCTTATGACTATTGTCCAGGTAAACTGAGAAAGCCTAGAAGGAAATCCCTCTAGGGATGCCAGCACTCAGGCTGGAAAGATCCTTTCAATTCCAGTGGGTGCAGGCTTGTCTGTCCAACTGAGGCTCTGGTTTCCAAGACATCTAGTGCAAATGACACCGTGAGAGGAACTGGGTGTATTATTTACTCCGAAACCTCGCCCAGGTTTTATGCTGGCTGCTCATCTTCGTGCTGGATCCAAATCCAGTGCCCTTGCTGAGCCAACACTGAAACAAGAAAAAGGTTTTACTTTGTGAGAAGGCAGAAAAAAAGAAGCAACAATAAGCCACATGTCACTGCTGAATATCTCTGGGAGAACTCACATGATCCCTGAAAACACAGAAGAAGAAGGATACTGGGATAGGGGGGAAAGGGAGAAACTCCGGGCTAGTTTTGCAGTGCTAGAAATTTGCGTAGCAGGAAAAGCATTCCATTCCCATGCAGCAGCTGCTGCTGCACAGGCCAGGAGGGCAGGTGAGGGAGAAGCTGCAGGTTGGAGTGATCAAATCATCGTGCCATGAACTCTGAATGCTGCCAAGAAAGGGAAACAGCCAGGAGGCTGCCCCTGCTCTGCCCATCCTGTGACTCCACAAGGGTGACTCCAGATGCTTCCCCAGCCTGCTCTAGCTCGTAGCACACTTGGCCCACCTCCTGGGTTTGCTGCCAGGCTTAATTCAGCATCTGCAATGGCCCATGATGAAAAGCACTGTCTAAAGCAGTGCAAAGCACTGCATACACTGGTCTCTGACAACACTTGCCAAGTGTTTTGCTGCATCACAGGGCAGACAAAGGCTCACCACACACAGTACTGGGAGTCAGGCTCAGCCTGGTCCAGCACCCATGGCAACAAAAGCCCCATGCCTAAGCTGACACTGGGTTTAGTAACACTCCACAACCTCCAGTTTATGCTTTTGCTAGGAAAATGACCCAGAGTTTGGCTCTCTTGGTTAGAGCCTGGTGCTTAAAAAAAACCAAAAACCAAAAAAACAGAATGACAAGGTTGTGGATTTAATCCCTGTATGGGTCATTCACTTAAGAGCTGGACTTGATGATCCTTGTGGGTCCCTTCCAACTCCAAATATTCTGCAATTCTCATACCAGACTGCACCTTACCCTCAGACAGCCTTCCTATTCCTCCCACTCCTCCAGGGAACATGCCTCTGCTATTCCAAGTTTTATTCCTTGAAATAAGGGGGATAGCTTTGATGAGCACAGGCACAAGCCAGAAGCAGCACTGAGCCATGGCATGGCTGAGCAGCACCTGTGGGACCTGTGCCAGAGGGAGCATCTCATCTTTCCCTTCAAGGGAGGGCACAGGATCTCCCACTGCCACTGGGGCTGCCCAGGGGATTAGCCCACAGTTGTTCCTTTTTGATGAGGGAGGAGACAGGCATGTGAGCCCAGCTCAGTGTGTCTGGTACTCTCCATCCATCAAAGGGATGAAAGTTGTAGTAACCAAGGCCAGAAAGTGCCTCAGCTCAGCTGAGCTATAACTGGTAACCACAAAACTCGGCAACATTCCTGCTCTGTAGTCCTCTACAAGCTCAGAGATATTCAGCTTTACACTCCCACCCCCATCCCAAATACTCAAGGAATCCCTGAGTAGCAGCTCTGAAGCCTAGATTCCTGCAGCCTGCTGGCTTGGATATTCTTATGCCTAATACTCTGCCTAAATCCAAATTATAGACCTCCTTTCCCTCAGCAGGGTTTCCTTTCTTAATCTGGCTATATGATTTGATAACTTCTGTCAAATGCAGTATTTTGGAGACTCCTGTGAAACAAGGCTAAAAGTGGCAACAAGGTACAAAGCTAAAAAGGTGAAGTCGGCAGTGAAACTTCACAATTCTTTCCTCAAAGTAAAACTGGAGTAAAAAAGGAAGTTCAATATTTAGTTACAGCACCAATAAAAGCCCTAGAACCTCAAATCCTGTCTGGAAAGTTTGGGCTAAATAGCAATATCTATTCTTGGCCTAATTTAGGCAATAGATTTTTCATTACTTTGAAATACTTTACACATTTGAAGTGAATTTTGTAAGAGAATACCGATGTCCTTTTCTTCATCTGATTTAATTCCTTCCTGCCCATTCCAGGCTACACATGGAGTAGGTGGGAGTGCAGGCAAAAATGAAAGTGCTGCAGTGGCAATCCAAAATACTGTTCCTCACCAAAAGGACAAGCCAAGACTGATGCCTGGGCTGTAATTAGAAGGTCAGAGTTAGACACATCCATGCCTAATTCAACAGGGGTGGAGAGCAACCTCACACCATGGCTCAAGGGCATCACCCCACAGGACACCAGTGAGGATAAAGGGACAACCTCCTGGAAAGGAGCTTCAGCCCAAGCTCTCACACTGCCCTTCTCCCTTCTGGAGGTCAGGTCTTAGGGCACAGGCACCCCAGCCCAGTTGCTGTGTAGGCACCAGAGTCGGAGGTGAAGGCAAAGAGCAGAAACTATTTTAGGTTATGTGAACCCATCTCCACCAAATAGGATTATCAGACACAATCCAATTGGCCGAGGTGGGTCACAGAGCTGAAAATAGTTTTGTACTTTTGCCCTCTTAGCTGGTAAATAGCTTTCATCCCCCAAAAGTGCTGAGTTGTGCTATGCATTGGTGGAAACAGCTTGCACAAAAGTGAGACGGCTCTAGGACGAGGAAGGGGAAACCTGGGCACTGGGTGACATGCTGCTGTGGCATATTCGGGTCAAAAGGACACCCTAAAAGAAGCCATGGGAAAAAAAAAAAAAAAGAAACCAAAACCAAATTACAAAAACCAAAACAAAAAAACACATGCCCCAAACAAATTAGTTTCAAGTTGCAAACCACTCAGTTTAATTTATGATTTCTATCTATGCACATCTCATACAAAAAGCCTGAACAGTTATGTGGGACTAGAAATACAGGAAGCAGCATAGAACAGAATCTGCTGGCACACAGAGCCTGGCCCTCTTAATACAATCCCCTTCACAGACAGATCAAGACTCCTCTTAAAGCCTGACTGGGAATTTTGTTTCTGTTGTCCTGTTTGGAAGCTGCTCTCCAAATTTCTCCCACCTTGCAGTATGAAACCATGGTTTAATTCCTAGACTAGATTACCACAATTGATTTATCAGAGCCTGTACTGTTGCAAACACCTTCCTTTAGCCTTAAAAAAACTCTTCCCTTTTCACCCTGTTTACCTGCTAACATATTTACAGAGCACTCCCATACTCCCCCTACCATTTTCCTCAGGCTAAACAGTCCAAGCTCTTCTAATCTCCCCTTGTAAAACAAGTTTTCCATTGCCTCATCATCCTGACAGGCTTGCTTCAACACAAGTGCAGCTTCTGCTTAGTAAAATGATCTAAGAGCAAGTCCCTCTGTTCAAAGGAGAAGTCAAGGTTTTGAGATGCTTCCTCTTCGTTGCTGTTGGTTAGTTTCTTTGTTGGTTGGTTGTTGGCTGGTTGTTTTAAACAAACTTTCTCCCTTTGTTTTGGTCAATAGATTCTTCAATGTCAACATTTTAGCTTTCTCTAATCTCAGGGGATTTGCATGCTTCCAGCTTTCTAAAAGGTCCCTGCACTCAGCTATCAGGACAGCCCCAGTACAGCCCATCACTTGACTGTCCTGACACCATGGCCACTGAGATGATGGGAAGGAGGGGCTGAGGCTGGAACAACTTAATTTTTGCCCTTGGGCACAGGCAATTCAAACAGGAATGACATCCTAGCTGTCAGCACAAGGCAAAAGAAAAACATGCTCACAGCAACCCTGAACAGGAGCCTTTATCCCACCAAACTCACCAGGATGGAGAGGTGAGTGGGGCTCAGCAGGGCTGTCTTCTTCCTCCTGTCCCTGCTCTGCCTAGCACTTACAGGATGCTCATGGCACAGGCTCACTCCCTCCTGCTCCATTTCCATTAGCATGGGATGATGCAAGAGACTTTTACTGCAATTTGCTGAGGAACACTGCTGTCCAAACTGATGAAACAGCAATTCAGCAGAGGACGCAGGAGGCACTTTAGAGAAGTAGCAGGGACACCAGACAAGCTTTCACCACATTTATCAAAGTGCCAGCAGTTTCATTTCAAGGCAGCAGCGACAGTTATAAATAATGAGAAGAGCTACTCTGCATCTAGAGCATTTTAATAAATAAAATGTAAAAAAGAAGCCTAAACAGCACAGTTAGTCCCGCTTCTGCAACCTTTCAGGTTTTCCAGCAATGTATATAGCAATGATTCTCTCCTTTGTAGGTCCTGACAGCACAACCCTCTCAGATGATGGACCTTGAGCACAGACATGATATTTCATATGCAGGGTGCAGGCTACTGCACTCTGACTGGCAAATGCAGAGCTCTGTGTTTGTGTGTGTGCACACACGTGTGTGCACTTGTATATGATTTCACTCACAGCTGCTTGCTCAGCCTTCAGGCACAGAACAAACCAGACCAGGCACTTTGCTGCACACTCTAAATTCGTGCACACTCCTTTCCAATCTTTATTGGTTTTGAGGGTGGCATTTTTTGGGGAGGATCCATTTCCTATTTTGTCATCTAATTTTGACTCTTTGTGGGGAATGGCAAAGGAAAGAGCAGGAAAATACCTCCTGAAACACAGCTCAGCCAATGTTCCCTTTTCCTGCCCAGCAGTATCCCCACTGCCTTGCTCATGAGGCAATTTCAAGGACAGATGACACAATGTTTAGCAGTCTTCCAGTAAGCCTCTTACAGGCTCAGAGGACAACATGAAGCCCACTCAGAGCACCAAAGCAACCTTTAAAATACCTCCTCACACACTGTTAAAATACAGCTTCACCTCGAAGGACAGCAGGACCACCACACAAGTACACACAGCAGCACACACACTGCCCACACCACATCCAGCTCTAAGAGAATTCCAGAGCACTCACACAAATCTCTAGAGGTCCAGCACACACCACATCCAGCTCCAAGAGAATTCAAGAGCACTCACAAACATCTCTAAGAGGTCCAGCACACTTCTGGTGGTGCAGCCTGTGACCTCACAGCACAGCACAGATTCTGTGCTGCTTTAGTGTGTGGGTCTGGGCTTCATACTAGGGGATAGTAAGCTCTCTTCACAGAGCTTACACACAGGTATTTTGTCCACAGGTGGACAAAACAATTCCTTCTCTAGCTGGGGACCAAGGACAGGTGATCCAGACCTCAGGCCCAAAAGCACAAATAACAGTAGATCAAAGAGAGAAAAACAAGAAGGATGGGACTTCATGGGCTAAAGCTGTAATTGGACAATTGACTCCATTATGCTAATGGCCCAAAACTTATAAAAGTGTGAGACCCCATGACTAGTCATCCATTTTGTGACCATTTTGGGTTCATCTGGGGTGTTGCCCCAGCTGGGCTCTTGTGCTGTCCAAGGTGGATCTATTGAGGCCTCTTAATAAATACGTACTTTATTCTTACCTCCATCTAGTCTCTGTTCTAGGTCAGCCTTCACAAGGCATCAGAGGTGCACCACTGCAAGTGCTGTGCTTTATTCAGCCTTTGCAAGTCTTGGGGAGCTCAGCCTCTGCACACCCTGTGGCTCCTGCCCTTTCACACCCAGCTTGACTGATGCCCACCCTATGGCATGGTAAGTATGCCCCCTTTGCTAATGTAATTGACAGCCTGTGGGAATCCAGGGCTTCCCTCTGGCTGCTCTGGAAGGCCTGGGACCCTGGCAGGGGTCAGGAACCCCCCTGTACAGAGCCCCCAGAGACACTGTCTGTGATCTCTGTCCATGGAAAAGAGTTTTCAATCTTACAGGATGAATTACAAGCTCTGAGTGTTTCATATAAGTAATAATTAAGTGTGGCACAGGTGCAAAAGTAAAATTTTAGGATTCTAGATTAGGGGTTCAAAGAGGACAAGATGGAGGAAATTGGGTGTGTCTTGTCCTTTTTCTCCTTCTTCATGCCCTCCATGTTTCACTGTAGTGTTGGCATTTTTCTATTGGTTTAGGCTGGGGACACACTGTTCAACGTAGGTGACAGATATTGGCACATTATTGTAAATATAGCACAGGTAGTTTCTGGTATATAATGTTTGTAACATCCCACTGAGGGCAGAGCCCCACACGCTGCCCTGCAGGACAGACCTGCGGCAGGGCAGCAGAACATGTTAGAGATAAGCAAGAATAAACAACCTTGAAACCAGCACAGACAAATTATGGCTTCTTCTTTGGCAACGGGGCAGAAAGACAGAGACTTTCTACAATCTCGGAATCATCAATACCTCAGATTCCGACAACAGCCTCATTAAACCCCTGCAGAAAGGAGGCATTTTCTCTGTGACTTGCTGCAAGTTATCTGCACAGCCTTGCTGAGATGCAGTAGTGGCTGCTGCCACGGCATCCTCCCTGCAAGAGAGATAGGAAGGTGCTGTGGGGAAGGAAATGGCTTCTGCTGGAAAAAATTATTTCACTGATGCAGACTTAGAAGTGCCAGTCCACTGGAGCTTCCCAGTCCCCCCATCCAGCATGGCAGGCAGAGTGAGCTGGGAGCCAGCCTGCAGCATCTGCTGCCAGGGTCCTGGGTGTGCCGGAGAAATACACCTGCTGTGCCAGTGGGAACCCACCTGTCCTTCCCTGGCTAATCAAACATACCTGGATCTGAAAGAAAGCAGCACATTGTTATCAAAATAATGAAATCCTAACAGGCATAAACTGTTTGTTCTCCCCTCACCACCTACTCTCAATGGCAGTCACTGCAGGTCGTGCGACAAAGTAAAGAGGCACAACAAACAGCTCCCACAGCTCTGCTTCTTTATGGATGTAAAAGACAAAAACCCAAACAACCCTAAAACCCAAACTATGCTTCTTTATGGATGTAAAAGACAAAACCCCAGGGAATGGAGCAAACTAGAAGCCAATGTCACAAATATAGTAATTTTTAAAAATATCAAAAGGGAGGAAAAGTAAATAACCTTGAGTCAAAGTACCCAAGGATCACTGTGCAGCTGAAGAGTCTGCTCATCTTGGGAAGGGTTTCTTTTCTTAGTGAATGTGTCCTGCTGAACTGTCCAGAGAGGAGCATGAAGAGATACTCGCTTCCCAGCAGAGGAAGTGTAAATTCAAAGTTCTAAGAATTTAGAATGCAGCTGTCAAAAGAAAACACTGAGCTTTTTCCAGGACCATATTTATAGCTGAATTTATAGGGGTTTATATTTAGACAAATTGTTGGGCTTGGGTTTTCTTGGAGGGTAACTTCTTCATTTCCTTTTACTTAATTGTGAGTCCCTCAAGTCACCCAGGTGATAACCTTGTGTAGATTCATTCATAAAACTAAAATGCAACAAGCTGAGCTGAACTATCGTGACAGTCTCATAACTAAAGACTCCTAATCTGGAAATGAAATGCTGAAGGTTCTCATAGCAACATCATCTCAGGGTGCTCAATACCCAGCAAAACAGTCTTCTAAAAATAAATTTAAAAAACAAAAACACAAAGAAATATTCACACTGGAATTATAGTCTTCTCCAAGTGCAAAAAAGACAAGATATTATTTCCTAAATGTCACAATTTAGAAACCTATTCATCTGTGACATTTATATTACAGTAACAGAAGCATCTGTATTTTTCTCTTCTTCAGTTCCCAAAGAATTCCACTGAGTAAAAAAAAAAAAAACCAAGAAAAAATATCAGCTCAGTTACATACTATCTCTTATACATAACTAGAGCTGCTTGCTCTGAATAAGTTTCAGAAGCTGCACCAGAGTGAACTCTGTAAGAAGGAGTGCAGCATTCAAAAGCTGTCTTTTGGTAAGAAGGTCCCTTCATGCAGGATCTATACACCCCAGAAATACAAAGATTTCAACAATTTGTTGGCTGTGTTAAAACTTGCCCCAAGTTTCCATACTGAAAATTGTCACAGGAGTCCAAGAATTCCAGTGGGACTCAAACTTATTTTTCTCTGGGCGCCTTGTGCTTCATCATTTGTTAATGTTAATATAAGGTCTGATCCTGCTGAGCTCTGAGCATCCATGGTGCTCCCTAGGGAAGTCTGTGCAGGCTGCCAGCTGAAGTGCTGAGCATAAGAGCACTCCAGCCCCTACAGCCTCAAACAGCACCAAGTGCTGAGCTGCCTCGGAGCGTGCTGCCACTAACAGAAATTTGGAAACATTTTTTAATCAGTTTGTTTTTTCTATCCTTTTTTTCTTCCTCGCGAAAAGAGCAAGGAGCACTCTGCTAATAAAGAAGTTGTGGCAACTTTCCACAATAATTCCCATCCTTTTATATTACAAATAACTCCTCCCAAAAGCTGGAAATAAAGACACCATCCTTCACACCACCACTAAGGGCACCAACCCCCAAAGCTCAGAGAGCAGGGAATGCTGGATTTTCAGCGCTTCTGCTGGCAGCAGAGAAACAGTCTCTGACCTGCTCCAAGCCTCCACCACCAACTTGAATGAGTCCCACACTGCTTGCAGAATCCAGTGCCACCCCTGTGCCACCAGTCCTATCGGGCTGCCAGAATGGGATGGAATATGAGGGGGTGAAGGCAAGGCCTCCAGACCCCTGCTTATGCTCCACCATTTGTGTGCTGCAGAGGGGTATAGCTCATTTGAATCAAGATCTTCTTCAAAAAAGGGAAATCAGAACTGCAGGAACTCAGCACTCAAGCAACAAATGAACAGTACTCAGTGGAAGAACCAAAAAAAGATAAAAAGGGTGCAGCTAGATTAAAATTTATGTTACCAGAAGCAATGGTTACCTTTACTTCTGAGCAATTTACCCATACACACAGAAGAGAAAGGTTTCTCCTTCATGTCTGCTGTGAACTAGCGATTTAACACATTATAACCGGTTTTAGTGGGCTTTGTTTGCTGCCAGCCTTGGCAGAGGTCTGCCTGGCCTCATCACTGTCCCCACGCTCCAGCTGGCTCTTCCTACAGCACCAGAGAGGGAAGCCTGCTCTGCTGCTGCCCCTTCTGTGCCTGCTCCACTGAATTTAAATGTCATCACAGTGACACTATCTGAGGAGGAACACAAACAAACCTGGAATCCCTTACTTCTGCCTACAGAGGAAAAAAAAACAACCAAAAACCAAAAACTGATTCACAAAAGCAGCACCCACAGTCCTATTGGGACATCACAGTGTCTGGAGCTCCTTCATGACTTGCCAGTTGGGGTTTCTCATGCCACCAAGGGCTCCTGGATGCTAAAAGCAGCAGGAGAAATGGGCAAGTTATTCCACACCTCGCCAGGAAGTGGAGCTTCCCCATGGTGGAGGGTGGAATCCACCATGACACCTGCACCAGCATCATCTAGAAGGAAAACTCAAAAAAAAAAAAAAAAAAAAAAAAAAAAAAAAGAGGGCTGTCAGTTCTCATCCACATCTCACTGTAGTAAGGAGACTCTGGTGCTTCAAATCCAGCCGGTTCACTGTGGAGACAGCCCTGGCAAAGGCTGCGAGTGGTGGGGTGGGGCAGGAGGCTTCGCCCACTCTCAGCAGTCCCAGGGCAGGTCAGGTGTTGCTCCTCTGTCCTGCCTTTACCCTGAAACCTTGGAGCTGGGGAGTGCACCTGCATGTCTGGAAACAAATGCCAATCCAGAGAGCTTGCTGCTTGGCAGGATGTGGTTTTTAGAAGGGAACTTCAGGAACAAGGCACAGGTCAACTTTGACCTGAGGCATCGGCATGAACAAAGGAGACAGAAGGCCTGGCCAGGACACGGGCTCACCCACACACACACCCGCTCATCCTCCGAGCCTTTGGCAAAGGACCCCACCCCATCCTCTCCCCTGCTACCACTCCAGGCTGACTTATCCCTCCCTCCTTTTATTACCTCGGTGCCGCACGAAAACCAGCTGCAACTCAAACAAGCCTCTGCTAGAGCATAAAGGCAGAAGTGGGAACAGGCTGGGAGTGCTTAAAATGAGTGGCGTGTTGCCCGGGGCAGCCTGTGCCCCAGCAGCCCGGCGCCCCGGGCTCCAGCGGAGGGGCTGCAGAGCCGCATTGAGGCCGGCGGGGCTGGCTGAGCATCCCGGCCGGGAACACTGCGCTCCTTGTTCGCTCCCGGCGCCCTGGGGAAGCCTCCGCAGAAAGGCTGCCATTCAAATGGAAATCAGGGCCTTGCACCCAGCCGGGAAGAGGAGGAGGAGGAGGAGGGTTGCTGGCTCCTCACAAACAGCAAGAAGATCGCTGGGAGATTTTGGATGGGGAAAAGGATACAGGGGCACGGGGATGGAGGAGGGGGAGACGCTCTCCGGCACATACACAGCACAAGCGGATGCTGGAAGGGGGAGAACAAAACCCTTTGCCAGTATGAAAAACGCCAATCACTTGGTTTTTAAAATTTTTAAAGTTTAATAATAATAAAATGGTTATAAAAATAATCATACAATTAGAGTAATAAAGTTATAGTTAGGACAATTACAAGACAATAAAAAGCAAAGAATTACGGACGTCAGGACGCTCTCGGACACTAAGTCAGCTCTCGGACACTAAGTCACGAAAAGCATGACTTGTGAACAAAGGAATCACCCTTAAACCAATACACTTGTTGCATATTCATACATCCTTCATGGTTATGCATACGTTCTATTCTAAATAAGAAACTCTGTCTCTTGTATGTAACTATTTCCTTTAATCCCCTGGCGTCTTCGAGTCTGAGCAAGGCCTGAAGAAATTAGCTTCTTCTGATAAGAAGCCATAAATTCCTCTCCTTTGGAAGATTTAGGTGTTCCTCAAAGCGAGTATCTCATCCCTAAAAAAAAAAACTTCCCCCACATACATAGTC